AATCCACAGCGAACTGTCAATGCAGAGATCTATAGTCAGCAACTGGAACGTTTTAAATGAAGCCGTTCATCAGAAACGCCCTTCACTCGTCTAACCGAAAAGGTGTTCTTATTCCACGACAATGTAACGCAAGATTATGGAGTTGGGTTGGGAAGTTTCCCTCACCCACCATATTCTCCAGATATGGCTCCATCAGATTACCATCTTTTTCATTCCCTGCAACACCATCTTAATGGGAAAACGTATGTAAATGTGGAAGGTGTTAAAGAGGACATCGACATGTTTTCTGCTTCAAAGCCAGGTGATTTCTTTAATCAGAACATTAACAACCTGATTGTAAGATGAAAAAGCATCATCGATAAGAATGGAGACTATTTCAGTTAATAAACGTTTTGTTTTGATATATAAGTTGTTCGGTTTTTTTCATCTAAAAAAAAGCGACATTAATTTCTTGACGACCTAATATGTATGTAAAGCTTGACATCTACTTTATCATATAATCTACAACTTTCGTGTATCTATCAAAGTACATTAAAGTGGAATTAACAGTGTAAACTTTGGTTAGGACATATACGAAAATGTTATGGATATCTTGAAATAATTTTCTCTCCAGATATAATTATTAGTTGATAGATGCAAAGATTTAAAACAGATATTGTTTCCAGGTATAAATATGTGCAGAAAGCTGCAAAAATCTGTGTAATATTTTTATTTCAGGTATAATAATGTAGATAAAAGTGTAACGACTTCAAGAATGGTTTTATTCAATTATATGGATCTGGAGAACTGTAAGATGCAGAGATCTCATAATGGGTTTAATCTGTTCCATGTATAACAGAAAAACGTACAAAAAAGACTACAGAATATTTCTGATACCATAAACAGCACGTAGAGAAACATATTAATGGGGACTTACCTCCCGCTCGTTGTTACCGAAACTGATTCCCAAGTTAGGCATAGCTCGAATAATGGCTGCAATGGACTGTACTGTGTTACTATACACTACAGGTTTGTACTGGCGAAAGTCTTCTTGTGTAAATCCGCTGTCGTGGATGATTCTGGGAAAGAGCACGTAAAGATACACAGGAACTTTGAGAAAGCGGAAGTAATAACACAAAAGATTTGAGTAAGCGGAAATAATAACAAAACATTTTAGTAAGCGGAAGTACTAAGACACATAGGAAACTGAGTAAGCGGAAGTACTAAGATATATAGTAAACTGAGTAAACGGAAGTACTAAGACACATAGGAAACTGAGTAAACGGAAGTACTAAGACACATAGTAAACTGAGTAAACGGAAGTACTAAGACACATAGGAAACTGAGTATGTGAAAGTACTAAGACACACAGTAAACTGAGTAAACGAAAGTACTAAGACACATAGGAAACTGAGTAAGTGAAAGTAGCAAACTTCGTAAGTCGTTAAAGGTTATGTAATACTTAATCAAATCCGTCAGAATCCTGAAGTACAACATAACTAAGCAGATATTTGATTTCGATTAAATGTATCAGTATAAAATAAAATGTGAATTCTCTAAACGATTTAACTGAACACTTACCATTTCAAGAAAGATGAATTAAAGACAATCATAGGTATTTATGATATCATAAGGAAGAACTTAACTTTAAAAATAAAGTTCAACCAAATACAGGAAGTTCGGTAAGTAAAAAGTAAACCATATAAAAAATCTGTAAAGAGGACGAACTGTACAGATACCACTGTTTACAAGTATAACTCTAAATCAACAAATTGGTTTTGTTTGTTTGTTTTCAATTTTGCGCAAAGCTACACCAGGGCTATCTGCGCTAGCCGTCCCTAATTTAGCAGTATAAGACTAGA